GCTTGCCTTCCTGTTACACCCTCCCACTTCTCCTGGGTCTGCCACGCTCACGCACACGTGTGCACACGCACACACGGAGTCCTGCAGATCCAGCAGTCTGTTATTTGGGTGGGGAATCTGCTCTGGGAGAACTGGGAGGCAGAATCCACATGGGCTACAGCCAGGGTACTGGGCTGTTGTGGGTTGTTTTGTTTTGTTTTTCTCTTTCTCCATATTCCAACCATCCTGGGAAAAGTTGGGTCCAGGAATGTGAACTCCGGAAAACCAAGGGCAGTGCAGCGCCAAGGTATTTACTAAGCCAATAAGCGTGCTTCCTTCTCCCTGGAAGGCAATCTCGGGTTTCCTCGGGGCACTTTCGCCTTGCAGAGTCCAGCCAGTTGCTCCTGTACATAAAGACAGTGTGGTCTTTGCAGCCTTCACAGTCAACCCACCAAGCACCAAGCACCTGAGAGAAAGCTACAGGAACCACCATCCCCCATCCGCCAGGGTCTCATGATGAACATGCTGTCCCCACTATAAACACAGCACCAGGGACTTCCCTTCGCCTTCCAATGCAGGGGCTGTGGGTTTGACCCCCAGTTAGGGAGGTAAGATCCCACATGCCTCCCAGCCAGAAAACAAAACATAAAAAGCAGAATCAATATTGTAAATTTGTAAATATTGTAAATATTTACATAAAACATAAAAAGCAGAAGCAATAGTGTAAATGTTGTACATTTGAATCTTGTAAATAATTCAATAAAGACTTTTTAAAAATAAACACAGCACCAAACTAATTTAGGGGTGAAGTGAAAGAGTACATTCCTCCAGACCTTCCAAAAGGGAAGAAAGCCATAACAGACAGAAACATGCCAGAGCCATACAAAAATACACAACATAACTCACACAAATTGTGAATGGCACAATTCTGTTTGTTCTGCCACAATACAAAAATGGGGAGTTTTTCATCCAGATAGAAAATAAAAACGCAAAAATTAGCAGCACTCTGATATGAATCAGCCCATGATGATACTTTCAATACACCATCATACCTACCCGATGATCTGGCCCCCTGCCCCCAGCAGTAATTCATTCTCATCTTGGCTTCTGTTAACTCTACGGTTCAGGGGTTCAAGAAGCAAAACAGTCGTGTCTTTGACCATCCCAGTTTCCGACCCTGAGCTTCCAAGTGCACCTTCTGGGGTTCACACTTTCTCAAGCACCTCAAGCAGTGCAAGACATCATCCGATATCCATCTTCACAGGTCTTTCCTGTCCCACGGCCCCTCTGGGTCCCTCCAGTTCTCTGCATGCTGAAGACCTGGGCATCTTTTGGGAGATGGTCCTGACTGCCTAGAAGCACCAACATCTATCATTCTGGGGACCTAACCCCCCGGGGTTCATAATTCCATCTGCTCTTAGCGTCTCCAGAGTGCTCTCTTTGTTCTCTCCATCTTCCTTCTCATAGACTAGGGGACTTTTTTTTTTTTTGGCCTCAGGAAAAGTCTTTCTTCCCAAATTTCTACAAGATTCATAGTCTGTTGGCCCCAAACTCCTTTGCCTGCTTACCAAATATATACACATTTTTTTTTAATTTAAAAATGCCTTTTTGTAAAACCGAAGCTAAAAAAAAACAAAAAGTGTCTTGGCTGTTTTTGACTCTGTCATGTGCCTGCATGAAGGCAAGGAGCCTGCTTCCATGGACACAGGGCAGGTGAGAAACCAGGGCACATCAGAAATGTCACCCAGACACACAAGAAACACGTTTTTCCTCTCCTTTCCATCACCCAAGTTTTTAAAGTGGTCAGATGTGGTTTCTTTCCTGGTTAATGAGATTGTTTAAAAGAAACACCAGAATAAGAGTTTCTCTTCTGTCCCCACTAACAGTCCCTTCCTGCCTCTATTTCTCCAGCAGCCTCTGCCCATGTCTGCCCCTCTCACTGGTCACTCCTTTTCTCTCCCATCACTGCCTCTTCCCGGCCTGGTTTGCACATTCTGAGAGAAGTTGGCCGGAAGTCACCATTGCCCCCCGTCCAGCTCAAGAGAAACAGCAGCACCAAAAAGTTCGGGTGCATCCCTCAAAATGTGTTAGCCTGTGATGCCCCATCCCCACCCCTGCACCGACCCCAAGTCAATACTTCTCCGAGCGCTTTCTGATTCCCGCATCCCCAAACACCCTCTTCAGCCTGCACCTTACTTGGCCTCCAGAAGAGATGGCCACTCCCTCTTCCTTAAAAGTCTCTCCTCCTTAGATACAGCTTGAGTGGCGCCCACACTCACCTGGGTTTTCCTCCCCCTGGGTCACAGCCTGCCCTCAGGATCCGATCCTTCTGTCAACCCGGTAATCCCTAACGCTCCCCAGGGTTCTGTCCTTGGTCCTCTTCTATTCCACCTGCCCTCACTGAACAAGTTAAACCTCTCTCAATGCTGTGATGCCTGCCAAACTCACAAAACATTCCCTTCCCCCACTTCCCCCCTCCAACTCCTCCCTCTTCCCCCCTCTACCTTCTTCCTCTCCCCCAATCTCTCAATTTCTGACACATGTTTGCAAGTCCCTAGAAAAGGAAAAGCTGGAGAGAGGATAAGAGTGCTCATTTCCTACAATGGAAAAACATATCAGGACCGCAGTGCAGACCAGGACCACCGGATGGCTAGACTCCAACTCCACACCAGAGAGGATTTTCCAGCAAGTAGCGCTAACCAGCAGTGGACGGGCTCCTTCCGAGGGAATGAGCTCCCCGTGCCGGGAAGTAGGGAGAGATGATTCCTACACACACGAGCAGGCCAAACTAAGCAACATCCATGTTCTCTCCCTATTCTGAGGTTGTACCTCTCAGCTCAGAAATCAGATTCAGATATATAGTAGCTTTTTGGCTTTGGGTTTTGTGGTTTGTGTATTTTTGGGTACCAAAAATGAAAGTTCTTCACTACAGGATGCTGATTAGAAGTCACTGTGACGTTTCCTTTTTACTCAATTATTTCATATATAACCATGATTTGTTGTTTATCTGATAAGCTGTATCACAAACTCATTGGTCATCCACACACTCTATAGTGTTTGGAGAACAAAGTTCATATGGTCATTGACGTAAAGTTTTCAGAGTAAAGGATGGTTGCAGATCTGACCACTTCTGGACGTTTCTCTCTGTCCTATTTCTACACACCGTCTTAAAGAAACAGGGAGGCTGAGGAGTCAGACATGGTCCTGCCTTCAGAGAGCTCTCACTCTGAGGAAGGAAGTGGACCCAAATGCCGGCGATTACGGCAGAGGGGGTCAGGTGCTGTGACACTTGTCAGAGAGAATGAGGAAGACAAGGCAGAGGCGGCATCTTGTTTTAGGATAACAACGTGTCTTTACATACATCACTGCAAAATCTATATTAAAAAAACAAAAATACAAAAGCAAATTGCCAACACCTCCACTGTCTGATCAAATTGTTTCCATTTGTCCATGTTAATCCTCATCCCTTACATATGCCATTTTTTCAGGTTTCCAATAATATCAGAGTGGTTCTAGAGTCTGGTATTTTCACTTATTATATCATTAGCATTTTTCCAAGTCCCTACCTTTTTTTTTCTTACTCGCACTTCACCCCCTTGAGATAACCAGGGTTCACAGCCTGGGGAGTCACCCACCTGTCTACACCTTTCTGTTTGATCCACCGTAGAAGAGGGCATCAGAATGAGACCTAAACCAGGACGACTGACTAACCCCTCCCCTCTTTTCCTGTTCTCCTGACATACCCAACTTTCAATCGTAAAAACCATTCTAACGTCTTTAAGAGAATATTGCTGGGAAGACCCAAGAAGAATGGCAGAGAGTAACTTTTAAAAAGCAACAAGAGCCCAAATGCACCACCATTCCATGGACCACAGCAGCCTGTCAATTTTCTTTGCTCAGTTACTCATGCACATGTGCTTCTTACTTTCTTCCTTCCCTCCAACATACATGGAATCTCCCCAACTCGTGACTTCTGCTTCTACTGTTTCAGCTGCCTCGTAACTACACATGCACCCACATAACCTGCCCACACCACCAGTTTTCTTTTTGGTGACTATGCCATGGTCCCCAATTCCTCAATGTTTCTTGGCTCAATTTCTCAAGGTCCTCTTTTCACATCAGACATACTCATGGCCTCATCAGCCGTGGCGCTGGGAGGAGTATAGCCAGAGTGGTGTGGGGTTGTGGTCTACGACTGTCTCTCCAGGAAGGACAGCAGAAGAGACCGTTTTTCTCCCTAGGACAGTCTTGGCCATGAGGGCTCCTCACAGTCAAAGCCACTGCCCTCCCTCATATGGTGCTGCCTTATTCACACATTTTACACATGCATCCTTAGTTGTTCAGTCATGTCCAACTCTTTGCAACCCTATGGACAGTAGCCCGCCAGGCTCTTCTGTCCATGGGATTCTCCAGGCAAGAATACTGGAGTGGGTTGTCATGCCCTCCTCCAGGGTACCTTCCCAACCCAGGGATCAAACCCACTTCTCTGTCATCTAACCTACATTGGCAGGCAGGTTCTTTACTACTAGCGCCACCTGGGAAGCCCAGCAGACTTTTTATGAGGCCTCCAAAAATTTGCTTAAATGGTTTATTCTTCATTTAACTGCTGTGAAGTGGACTCAGGTTTCAAGTCTGAAACTTTTTCTTGACTCAGTTTCATTAAGGAGGCAGGGAGGTAAGACACAATTCCTCAGGCTGCCAAGGGGCAAGTGTGACTGACTCGGTCTGGGGCATCACAAACCTGCTGAGGTGTGGCCCCCCAGGTCCCTCCTCCAGACTCACACGCTCACATACACGCACACATGAGGGCAACCACGGGAAGACTTCAGAGTTGTGTATGGGATCAAGTCACAGATCAAGTCACACAAGTCTCCAGCTGTGTGATCTGGGAGAGGTCAAAACATTTCGGGCCTTATTTTCCTCCTCTCTAACATGAGGTTAAAAAAAAATTTTTTAAGTGACTTTTTTGTAAGGATTAGAAGATTAAATGGAAAACAGAGTGTAAAACCCTTTCAGGCCAATTGAGGGTTATACAATTGCTGCTTTAATTAACTTGCCATTTCATTTTCCAGCCTGCAGAAAGTCCTTGTTAACTAAGTAAATGGTCAATTTTCCACAACAGGAATACAAGTCAGCCGTGAAGTCACCAGCGTCTCTTGGGTCCCAGTTTCTGGTCAGTAGCACCAGATCCACAGAGGCCAAACTAAAATATTGTCTTCCTTCACAAAGTCGTTTAATCTTTCATCTCAAGATACGTCAATCATGAAAATGGACTGAAGGGTTTTAAACGAAGGAGAGGAAGCTTTGCTCAGAATTATCTAATGAAAAAGGGGGAGGAAGTAGGCAAAAGCACACTGACTTTTTTCTTCTTTTATTTATAAAGAACACGATTCCTCCCCCTAACACAGACATAAACACTCACACATTCCAAGGAGGAGCTTATAAAAACAACAACAGAACCAGGGCACTCGGGACCTTATTTAACACCAGTCCGTTTGCCCAACTGGGGGACAACTGGGAATGTTTCCTCAGATGTGACCTCTCACACCTCAAAGAAAGGAGACCTTGACCTGAGGGGCCCACCTACCCACCCGCCAGGCAAAAGTGACACCCTCAGTCTTCTGCATCATCAAACTGTCCCGTTTCAAAGACCATCTTGGAATAATGGGGTATCAGTGGAGGCGGATGGTGCCAACTGGGGTCATAGATCATGTCTCCTTGTGGGGCACAGCACACCCAGGGTCTGACCTCTTGAGAAAGGCAACCTTGGATGTCGTCAGCATCTGCAGGCAGTTTTAAAAGACAGATTAAAAGGAAGGAGGGAGTGTGACAAGAGAGACCCAAAAATATCTAGGGGACAGACACTTGCACGTCTTTGCTTAAACACATGCACAGGCGGGCACACACGCATGCACACGTCTTCCGTTGCTGGAGAATCCCAAGCACCTTCATTCTAAGGCCACCCACAGTCCCGCTTCTCTGACACAGGTTTTTAGCAGCGCAGAGAAAGCAAGGAGAGCACTTCTGTCTGCGGCTGCTCCATTCATACAAAGATATTTGGAGAGAGTAACATTGTTTCAACATTCAAACAGACCCATACTGTTATAAAATAAAATACAAAACTGGCACTTCCCCCACCAACCCCCACCTCCAATATGAAAGAGGAGCTGTCACAGAAATTTCAGACCTGTAAGAGCTATCAGGCAAAACTAATAGATGTGGCTCCCTCTTCCAAACTGTTTAGGGGTTAATCTGGTAGGAGGGTCTCAGGAGCCTGGCCTGTGTGTGCTCAGTTGCCTCTCTTTGTGACCCCATAGACTACATGTAGCCTGCCCGGATCCTCTGTCCATGGGACGTTCCTGGCAAGAATACTGGAATGGGTTGCCATCTCCTATTCCAGGGGATCTTCCCAAACCAGGGATCAAACCCTCATCTCTTGCATCTCCCGCACTGGCAGGCAGATTCTTTCCAACTGCACTAGAGCCTGGCCTAGGACCCCAGAAACCCCGCACCTACCATATGGACTCCCCTGATCTGCTTTCAACTCCAGGTCCCAATCCTCGTGAAAAAGATCACCAGCCTGTTCCTTGGGTAGACAGCCGGACATCCCTTCTGACAGCTCCCGGGGACTTGGTTCCCCATCAGAATCCTCGTCATCTTCAGCAAAGCCTTCCTCTTCACAATGGGTGCCCTCACCATGAGCAGGACTATCGTGAGGGATGCTCTGTGCTCCGTTGGCTAAGAAATGGACAAAAGGAAGAACAGCTTAAAACAACCTGGTCATGTTCTGCTAGGAAGATGTTCAGCAAACTTCCTGAGAGGGCAACAGTCACAAGCGGGCAGAGCCCCTTAGCCACCAGAGCACTTATTTAAACACTGTCGTTCTGCTCCCAGTTTTACAAGTAGGGTTGACAATTTATTTTCAATAAGATGTTGTGTCTTAAACGAGGCCATTCACTACCATGTCTTTTCACTCACATGAGGAAATCAGGTACAGTGTGTATTTTCAGGTGGTTTAAATGACACGGAGGGAAAGGGCTTCTGGCAATGATAAGCTCTCACAGTACAGACTTCCTTGGTGGCTCCCAAGCGCCACCCCAGGCTCTGCTGCCTACTTGCCTAGTCGATCTGTGGTGTTCTCAGTCGCTCTCTCCTGATTGGAGTGGTCAGCTGGGGCAAAGGCAGGCTGCGGGAAGAAGAAACAAGGACCCAGGACTTGGATATCTCGGGAATGGCCAGTATTTCAGCCCCATATCCACCCTTTCAGACCCTCCTTTGCAACGCTGGGGTGGGACCCTGCAACCCAACAAAACTGGCACTTCCCCCACCAACCCCCACCTCCAATATGAAAGAGGAGCTGTCACAGAAATTTCAGACCTGTAAGAGCTATCAGGCAAAACTAATAGATGTGGCTCCCTCTTCCAAACTGTTTAGGGGTTAATCTGGTAGGAGGGTCTCAGGAGCCTGGCCTGTGTGTGCTCAGTTGCGTCTCTTTGTGACCCCATAGACTACATGTAGCCTGCCCGGATCCTCTGTCCATGGGACGTTCCTGGCAAGAATACTGGAATGGGTTGCCATCTCCTATTCCAGGGGATCTTCCCAAACCAGGGATCAAACCCTCATCTCTTGCATCTCCCGCACTGGCAGGCAGATTCTTTCCAACTGCACTAGAGCCTGGCCTAGGACCCCAGAAACCCCGCACCTACCATATGGACTCCCCTGATCTGCTTTCAACTCCAGGTCCCAATCCTCGTGAAAAAGATCACCAGCCTGTTCCTTGGGTAGACAGCCGGACATCCCTTCTGACAGCTCCCGGGGACTTGGTTCCCCATCAGAATCCTCGTCATCTTCAGCAAAGCCTTCCTCTTCACAATGGGTGCCCTCACCATGAGCAGGACTATCGTGAGGGATGCTCTGTGCTCCGTTGGCTAAGAAATGGACAAAAGGAAGAACAGCTTAAAACAACCTGGTCATGTTCTGCTAGGAAGATGTTCAGCAAACTTCCTGAGAGGGCAACAGTCACAAGCGGGCAGAGCCCCTTAGCCACCAGAGCACTTATTTAAACACTGTCGTTCTGCTCCCAGTTTTACAAGTAGGGTTGACAATTTATTTTCAATAAGATGTTGTGTCTTAAACGAGGCCATTCACTACCATGTCTTTTCACTCACATGAGGAAATCAGGTACAGTGTGTATTTTCAGGTGGTTTAAATGACACGGAGGGAAAGGGCTTCTGGCAATGATAAGCTCTCACAGTACAGACTTCCTTGGTGGCTCCCAAGCGCCACCCCAGGCTCTGCTGCCTACTTGCCTAGTCGATCTGTGGTGTTCTCAGTCGCTCTCTCCTGATTGGAGTGGTCAGCTGGGGCAAAGGCAGGCTGCGGGAAGAAGAAACAAGGACCCAGGACTTGGATATCTCGGGAATGGCCAGTATTTCAGCCCCATATCCACCCTTTCAGACCCTCCTTTGCAACGCTGGGGTGGGACCCTGCAACCCAAATTTCTACTGTGCCCTGTTACACGGGGACTTGCTGCTTCCCATTCCTGTGGGCATCACCCCTGCCGGCAGGATCACCTGCCTTCACTGAGTGCCTAGTGAATCCAGTGCACAGTCTGCCAGCACATACAGAGCCAGTCTCTTCGCTGGGCCCTATCTTTTTTTTCATTTTTTAATATTTATTTGGCTGTACCATCTCTGAGTTGCAGCACTCAGGATCTTTAATTTTGGCATGTGAACTCTTTGCTGCAGCATGTGGGATCTAGTTCCCTGACCAGGGATCAAACCTAGGTTGCCTGTATTGAAGCGTAGAGTCTTCACCACTGAACCACCAAGGAAGTCCCTCACCGGGCCCTCTCTTGATTGGTCTGGACCCTCAGGACTCCTCCTCCAAGCTCAGAGACTCCAACTAGCCAGGACAGGACAGTACCCCCTCCTCAGAGGCTGGGATTTCAGATCCCTGAAATTCTCCTCTGAGCTTGTACATTTTAGTCATTCCAATCTCACCCCTTTGTTCCCTCAGCGCAGTGGATACCACTGTGTTCATCTTTACCTTTACTTTTTATCTAGCTAATGGCTCTTTTATCAAATTTCATCTCCTGACTAACACATGAGGACCAAAGAGCTTTAGTTGTTGAAGGGAAATTGGCAGTTGTTGATGGGAAACTGTCTTCCTTCATAGCCATCGCTAGGTTTCTCTGCTCCCATCGCTCAAAAGTTCTAAAATCCTGGGACTTCCCTGGCGATCCAGTGGCTAAGACTCCACGCTTCCAATGCAGGGGGCATGGGTTCAATGCCTGGTCGGGGAACTGAGATCCCACATCTGGGTAGTATGGCCAAAAACAAAAGAGTTCCTGAAATCCTATCACCTGTGAAGACCTCTAAGTGAGGTGAGAAATGTTCACAGACTGCATGAGAAGACCTGACTTCAATCCCATACACTCAATCCCAGATGTACCTGGGACACCATTTCAGCCACTGTGCCTGGATTTCCATCTCTGGAAGTTGGGGATGATTGTTCTAACCTGGCAGGAGGTTTATAATGAGATTACACTGATGAAGACACCTAGCACACAGCAGGAATATAACATTTATTGAGCTGAAAACCACCTTCTTTGCCCATACATTTAAACTGCGCTTGGCACCTGCCCCAGTTAATCACAATCTAGTCCAACCTGGATTTAATGAGCTAATTCCAACTCCAGTAGTCAGTGACAACTCCCGGTCACTCCTGCTGACCAGTAGTGGGACTTCTCACCTCTTCTATTGCTAGAGCTCCCTAACTGCCTTCCCACTCACCCACTTTTTCTTTTTTAATTTGGCTGCACCAGGTATTAGCTGCAGCATTTGGGAGCCCCCACCAACGTCCCCTGCATTGGGAGCACAGAGTCTTAGCCCCTGGACCACCAGGGTCCCACACTCACCCATCTGACTGCAGCCTCACACTGGAAATCACCACTCTGCCCAGAAACCTCAACAGGCCTCCACTGCTGGAGCACAAAATTCGCCATGGCATCCACATCGCCCCTTCAGGCTCTATCAACGTGTGCAGCACAGTTATCTCTCCAAGCTCCCAGCCATTTGCCCTGCACATCCTCACCTCCCTGCCTCTGCTAGGACCACCATCCTCTCATCTTGGAGAGGAAGTGCAGGAACCTTCCTGCTGTGGCCTGACAAAATCAGTCTCATCCTACCTGCCCGCTGAAGTAATTTTCTTTATAAGCCTACCACTACATTTTTCCTATCTTATTTTGGTTAGGATGTCTCTGATGCTTAGACAAGCATTCCTCTTCCATCCGATTAATAAATATGCGTGTCTAAGGTGCCAGGCACTACGCTACGCATCGGGTTTACAGCACTAAATAGAGCGTTCCTACCCTCAAAAGCTCACCGTCTAAAAGGGATTACTGAACAAGGGCAGGACGTAACAGCGGTCTTTGAGAAACCGGGAGCGGTCTGGCGCGTAAAAGAAAACAAGTTTCTAGAAAGCCTGCGTCAAACGCGGCCTTTTGGTTTCAGTGAAAAGGAGCGCGCGCAGGAGACATCATCCGGTGCTCTGGCTTAGCTGAGCATCCCCACCATGGGACACGGATCCTTCCGGGAAAGTCGCTTTCCTCGCCACCCTCACCCGTCCCCAGCCTGGGCCCCCCAGCAGCAGTCCCAGCTGTCGGTCAGCAGCATCACCTCCCATTTGGCAAGGACGCAAAGGCGCCCTGGAGCTAACAGCCAGCCCTCCCAGCCCGGTGAGCCCACCCACGTCCTCGAGGTTGCCCCGCCCCGCAGTCCCGCGGCCCGGCTGTTTCCAGATCGGGCGCGCGCCTAAACGGCTGGGCTGCCCGAAGCGAGCCGGGAGCGCTTCCCCGGTTTCCTGGCCCCGGCCCCGCGAGCCCCCACAACTTCCCGCCGCCGGCCGCAGGTGGTGGCCGCGCCCAGGCCCCGCGCCGCGCTCACCCCCGGGCTCGGGGGCACCTCCCGCCCGCTCGGCAGCTGCAGACCCCGCGGCTGCTCCGCGGCCCTCAGCGCCTGGGCCCCGGCGGTCGGAGGGTCCATGCCTGTCTGCCCGCGGCTCGGCGCCCAGGACGCCGCTCGGCCACGTGATGCGCAGGCCTGGCTGCCAGCCCGAGGATACGCCGTTGAGGGCCAATCAGCCGGGGGTGCTCTCGGCCCGGGGGCGGGGCGCGGGGGTCAAGAGGGAACCAGGGGCGGGGCAACGGACGGGGCGGAGTAAGGGGCGGGGCGTGCCCGCCTCCGAAAGCCCAGTCTACCCAGCCGTCCCGAAATCTGATTTTTGTAGCCACTGGCGACGCAGATCCCAAGGCTAAACGATTAGCTGGGTCTGGAACGCCCGGGTGTTACCCCCACCCAATCACAATGGACCTGCTTTCCTTCAAAACCTGTTAGAACAGTCAATTTACCCGCGTCTACCTAACAGTGCGTAAAATAGTGGGTAAGAGCTTAAAGACTTTATAGGCAATTGTAGCTTTAATCCCATTTTCTTTTCTCTATTAACAGGTTTCTCTAGAACTTGGGCTGATATCAGGCTACAACCCTCCCACAAATGGATGAGACAACTCAGGAGCACAGTGACTCTCACCCTGAGCTGACAGGTCTTCGCGTTAACCCATTTAGAAACAAAGCCAGGTTGATCAAAACTCCTCTAACGTTTCAGACACCCTTATAGGCTACGACACTCGGTCACAGTAACCCTAAACATCCTGCACTGTGCACGTAGTCTCACCTAGGCGCCTATCTTTCAGTGCTCCAAGCCCGGCCCTCTACAGCCGAGGGCAGCATAAGTTAGGCAGCACCCGAGCTGGGGAACACCAAACTCTAAAGGCAGCCCTTGCTGCCTTTCCTTCCCTGCGCTGCCTGAACCTCCGTAACAAATCTGCTCAAGGTGTGATAATCACCTTAACCTGTATGTAGCAGAAAAGCTGGAAGCTGGGATTCTTTGTTCATCACGCCATTTTATGACAATCTGAGATTACACTATTCCTCCAAATCTTTCAAAGAATGTTGTCTATACATTACATAAGGCATTTGAAAAATAGCCCAACAGTTGATAGGTAACATTTTTTTCTCTATGCAGACTTTCCTACAAGAGTGTGTGACCATTTGTCTTCTGCTCTGACCCATGAGTCAGTTTCCCCAGATCTAACTGGATCTAAGTCAAGTGTCTAGCAGAAACTTATCTGATGGTGGAAATAAGTTTTATATGTGCTGTTCAGGAAACCACCGGGCTGAGTGAGCACTTGAAATGTGTCCAGTGTAAATGGAAGACTGAATTATCTAATTTCAATACATGTTAAGTCCCCACATGTGGCTGGAAGCCACCATATCAGCAGAGCTCAGGGTGAACTTTTCATTTTCTGCGATGGTGGGAACCAGGTACAGGATGTGATGGCCCAGGGTGACCCATCTTCACAGCCACGCTGGAAGGACAACCACAACCCTCTTAACTCTCATCTCTTATGTGCTCTTTCCTAAAATAAAAAAAGCCCATGAAGGATTTAAATGTTGAACTTCCCAAGACTTAGTGGAGAAGACAGAGGTTTCTTATTTTAGAATAAATGACAAACAACCAACCACTAGGGTACAAAAGCTAATAAAGGTGTCCTAAAGCAGACTGATACTCATAGAGATTTAACACACAATAAAGGTAAATCAAAATCAGCATTAAGAAAAATGGCCACAAATGGTGGTGTAGAAAATTTAGTTAACTGCTTGGGGTAAACAGAGTTGTCCTCAGCAGGACATGGGTTTTCAACAACAGAAATCATACACACACACATACAAAACCTCTGAACACCAAAACACACACACACACACACACACAAAGCTGGGACAAATTATCTGTTAGAAAACACAAGCTAAAGATTACTATTCTAAAAAAAGAAAAAAAAGATTACTATTCTTAGTACATAAGAAACTTACAAATTTTTAAAAAAAAAAAAAATTTTTTTTAATTAAAAAAAATAGTCAAACATGAAAAGAGAACTAGGAAAAACACAGTAACACAGTCTAACATATTAAGATACACTAACATCAAAGAAATGCACATTAAAAAAAAAACAAGAATATATCACTTTTCACTTATCAAAATGGTAAAAAATATATAAAATACCCATGATGCTTGGAAGTATTTTCATACATTGCAAACTGGCAATACTTAGCAATACTCTTTAAAATAATTATATTCTTTAACACAGAAATTCGGTCAGATGTCAGTCTTCCAAAGAAATAACCAGCGATGTGAACAGGATTTTTAAGAATCTTCACCAACAGCACTTTTAAGAAAAAATGGCACACGGTCCAACCACAAGCGATTAATAAGTCATGACTCATCTATACAATGGAATGCTATGGATTTATTTCACGTTTTCAAGGCTATTTAATAACATGGAAAACAACATAATATTAAGTGAAACAGTGTTAAGTCAAACTGTACTGAATGCTTCTCCCAGTGACATCATGTTACGTTGAAGGATATACAACTCAAACCACCACTTCCTCTGCTCCAAGAATGCCCGTCTCTGCTCTAAGTCACCCTCCATCCTTGCCTCTGGAGCCTCTCTTTCTAGCTACTCCCTACCTCTGCCTTTCATTGTTACTGGGTCTCTCCAGTGTAATTATTTCTCTCCAGATCAGTCCCAGAGACAAAAACACTTTTGTAATTTCTTAAAATCTTCTCAAAGAACAACTTTTTCCCTAATACCTAGCATCCTCTTCTGCTGCTTCAACCAACTCAGGACATCAGCCCTGTTCCTTTCATCCCCACTTCCATCCCAAAAGCTTGTCTTCTTTCTTGCCCATGACAGGGACTCAATGAATGAATGAATAAATGACCTAACAGTATAAATCCAATTCTAACAAAGGAAATCATACCAGTGAGTTTAAGTCCAGATGACAAGATTACAACATTACTTTGTTCCCTCCGTACTTTTACAATAAATGCATACCACATATACTTCTATAAGGAGAAAACAGAACTGTATTTTCATCCCCATTTTAACTGAACAGAGGTCTAGATTAGAGCTACTCAAGCGTGACCAAGTGTAGTAAAAGATCAGTTACATCGTTTCCATGTATTCTGAAAAACATTTAGGACCTACATAGTCTGGCCTCAACAACTGGCTTCTGGCCATTAAACAGCAGCTCTCTTTTCTGGAATTCAAGATTAACACATCAACAAAATTAAAGCAGGCCTCAAAATGAGATGGCATCTCAGCAAACTGCAGATGACTGCATAAAACAAATGTGCCCAGAGGGCTTATAGCACTATTTCACAAAGGTGACTGTGCTCTTCCTCTTTTCACAAACGGCCGGCTTGATGCAAAGCATGTTTAGACATGAACTGCTCTACTGACTCTCCCTGCAACATTTTCATGGCTCGCCAATAGAGCTGTCCGCAGTTCTCAGGTCTACCAAGTGGGTGGTTCAATTCTTCTTTGATGTAATCCATCCAGAGATCTTTAAAGGGAATCCAAACATACAATGAGATAATTGACAAGGCTTTATTAGGTCAACTTAATTATTTAATATCAATTCAACGCAAGATTTCTAAGAAACAACTCTGTGCAGTTATTTTCCTAGAAAACTATGTGAAATAATACCTCTCTCAGCTTCTTACTTTAGAAAGGAGTGGCTTCTAGGTAAAATAATATCTCTCTCCCTTCTTTCTTTGGAAGGGAACGCCTACCCACTCCAGCATCCTGGCCTGGAGAATCCCATGGACTATTCCATGGGGTTGAAAAACAGTAGGACAAGACTGAGCAACTTTCACTTTCAGCTTCTTTAGTACAAAACATCAAAACCTTTTAAGTAGAAAACTTCACTTTAATCATGACAGTCTACTTATCTCGTAAACTCAAAAATGCTAAGTATTTTAGAGGGAGGATTTTGCTGAGTCTCTTTCAAGGTTCAACTTACCTCAATGAGTCTATTAGAACCTTGTCACCATGCTTAATAAAACCTGCTTAACGTTAGTAAAAATGCTGTTTTCATTCATTTCACCAGAAGGCATGCTGAAACCTTGTAAAACCTAATGTATGATGTAAAATCTGAGTTTAACATCTGTAAGTGTAATTTTTAAAGTTCCTAAGTCAACAGACTTTACATGACATACTTATACCTAGAAATAGGTTTTACAAGTCCTTTAAGTTAAGACAATGTGGCAATAGCCCATGACAACCTTTGTCAATTATTGTCACCACTCCTCTGACATAATACCCACTCCATTTTGTTCTGATGTACCTTAATCTTTTCCTTACAAATACCACATTTTTTAAAAGAACCAAACCAAGCAAATCTCCCTCTAATCCAGAGTTCTTAATAAAAGACCCATGGACTTTGTTCTGGGCTTGTAAACTTGAAATCAGCAGTAAAATTATGTCTGCAACTACTTACATACAAAGTAAGGGAGGAGGCAGAGGAAGGATGCTACGTTTTATTCTCAAGGAGGGCCGTGACCCAAAAATAGTGAAGAAATACGATCCTAAGCATAATGATAGGTTACAGACCACACATGCAAACAGGCTTGTGTGTCAATAACTGAAGTTTACTTACCAGAATCAACAGTTCCAAATTCTCTCAAAGCCCTCTCATAATACTCTCTTAAGTTTTCCATCTTACAGGATTCCTATAAATAATCAGACAATCTTGCCTCAAAAGTCTAATTTGTAATGTCACAAATTCATTCCACACATATTGTTACTACTGTCTATTAGGTATTTGAAGGGGAGGAAAGATGGGTTTAAATGAACACAGTCTGACTCTGAACTTATCCATAGAAAAGTCAAATGCACTATGTGGCAGAGAGAAATAAATGTCAAACAGTGACAAAAGCACTTTGCTCTGTTGGCTTGCAAAAAGCCTAATCAATTCTCACTTGAGGGAACAACGGCAGCTCCACAGGAAAATATATGTGAAACCCTACAGGACTTAAATAAATAAATGGGGAAGGTTCTATTTCCTATGGTGAGGGACTTCTTCCTTGAATATATGGGCTCTAGCACATACTAGCCATACTCACCTTAAAAAAATTGTTTCTATCAAGGCACAGTATATAAATACTAGTTACATGAATTTTAGCAGGTTTTTTGAACCCTCTGACCTTCAAGTTTCCTCACCCATAAAATGAGGATAACAGTATCTCTTAGACCAACTATAAGGATTCAATTAAAATACTGATGAATTATTCACCAAGAAGAGTAGCCACTACCGTGTGTGTGTCTGTGTGGCGGGGCAAGGGCAGTGCAGCACCGCGCAGCCTCTGGGATTTCAGTTCCCTGACCAGGGAATGAACCCGAGCCTCAGCATTAAAAGCCCAGAGTCCCAGTCACTAAACTGCCAGGGAGCAGCTCCCTGCCAGTACTACCTTTACAACCAACAAATGTTAATTCTTCACCTCTGCTTTGTTTCCTCTGTTTCATTTTCAAAGCAGATAAACATCTTCAGTTTAAAAATCTTTTTATGTAGTCAAATAAATACGTCCTCATTCCAATTTCTCTTTGCTGAGACTGTACTATCTTACAGAGAGCCAGTTTACTTCGTGTCTTACACACATATGAAAGACAGAATCACACTTTAGGAAGGGCTCACAGTAAATGTGTAACTATGCAAAGTCCTTTCCATCCAGTCTTCCATCAGATCTTATATATCCCCCTGAAACAGATATTACGACCTCCTTTACAGGTGAGTATGTCAAAGGTTAAAATTAAGTGACTTGTCCAAGGTACATGACCACTGTGTTATTAATCCAAAGTCAGGCTATGAATTATTATGCTAGGTTATCTCCTATAAAAACAAATCACTGACCCACATAGGGGTCAAAACCTTAAGAGTTCAACCTCATTATCAATTTTTCAAAATTCAAAGAAAAATAATAAACACAAATCAAAATACCAAAGAGAAAACAAAATTGAACACATGGAGAAGATATGGAGAAAACAAGTATAATGGTATACGTATATATGCAGCGATGATCACCATAAGTATAACTTTTAGAAAACTATCTGGCAATATGTAAATAAAGAACCATTAAAAAAAAAAGCCAGTATTCTCCAATCCTAGAAATTTTTCTCAAGAAAGTAATTCAAATGGGGGAAAAAAAAATCTATACAAATAAAATGCTTGCAGCACTGTTTTCAATACCAAAAATCTGGGAACATCCTATACATAATGGGATGGTTAAGCAAACTTACAGGTTTAGTAAGACAACCATTCAAATGATACCATATGAAAACACAGGAATATGTTTACAAAATAATGTTAAGGAAAAAAAGAAAAACTCCACGTATCACATCAGAAGTAAAACAGTACAAAACTGCATAGGTAAATAAAGGATTAAAAAAATAACAAAAATAAAAATAAATATGGTTGGTTGTGTTACTGGTGATGGGAATACAGATATATTTGGACTTTTTTAACTGACATTTTCCTGTGTTTTTCCTCATTCACAAGTTCAGTTAAAAACACCAGCCACAGTTATAAGTGCCTTCTCTCTACCGCACAGCCCAGAAGAAGAGACAACCGGGGCACTGTGGAGACAGGGGGTAGCTTGCTATATGAGCTGATGTCTGAGTTGTCTAGTTTCCAGACAGGTTTCTCTTCCTCTTTGCTTGACTACCATTCCTAAAATCACATCTGTGGAAAAGGGGCTAGAAGAAGAGACCAGAAATTATACTGTATTATGATGAGAGGTTCTTAAACAACAAAATGCTGCCATAGATTAGTATGTGCTAATCCATTTTCCCAACAAGAAATGCACAGACAGGACACTTACTTGCTCCTTCTCAAACTCAATCATCTTCCTGAAAAAATCAACTGAAAATGGACGGTTTTCCTGTAAACTAAAGAGGAAGGGGGGAAATGTTATCTTCCACAGAGACAGAAAGCCTCTTACAAACCATGAATGTAAATACTGGGCCAGGGCCCCCACCACACATGGTCTGATAAAGCTCTGGCTGCGATTCAGTGCAGGGACTGGACCTGACCACCAGTCACTCACCATCTCCAGTCCCAACGCCTCACCACCACCAACCACCTACCCAGTTTTCTTTCTGTTCTCTTCTTTCTCACTTTTAGGGTTTTAAGTTCCCTCTCCTTCATCTCAAGGTCTTTTTGAAGGAACCAATAAGCCCATTTCTAAGAAAATATTCTGAGAAAATAATTTCAAAAATGGACAAAGAATATTTGTGCAGTAGGGTTCATCAAAGCAGTTACTATGGCCAAATAAACTATGGCATATCCATGTTATTTTTAATAAATGTTAAAGAACTGTTACTGACAGGAAAAAGGCAAGTCTAAGGTTCATCAATAAAAGGGGTACACTGCATGCGATTATAGTATAATCTCAGCTATGTGAAAAACATACTTAACAGAAGAATTATTTTTAGTACTTGTTTGGCTGATCACGTGGGATCTTTCACTTTGGCACATGGACTCTAGTTGTGGTGCAAGGTCTCAGTAGTTGCAGCGGGCAGGCTTAGCTGCTGTGCATGTCTTTCCCCAACCAGGGATCAAACCCATATTCCCTGCATTGCAAGGGACTACCAGAAAAGTCCCTTTAATTTTTATTGGGGTGAAAGACAAATTTTAAAAAGATTATTAAAATGCTTTTTCTCTTGATGATGGGATTACAATGAATTATTCGCTACCTACCTCCTTCTTTCTCTTTTTAAAAAAATTTTTCACAGTGGGCATGAACCAAAAGGCTCTTAAGATTTATTCCTCACATATAATCTGGGTACCAAGGGCTGGGTATAGGGTGAAGAGACAAGCAACAGCTGCACGTGTCTGTAAGTACCTTTTAAATACATCTCTGGCCTTTTTGTAACCACCACTTCGATAAGCCCAAGCCAGGTACATTTCCTTCATAGTGGCTGAGTCATCTCCTGAGAGACGAAAGACAGCTCTCTAAAAGAAAAAAGAAACAAGCCACATAAGGAGACATCTAGGTATCAAGACAAATTTCCCAAAACCATCCCAGAGCACTGAATGAACAGTGCTTTAGGAAAAAACCCTTCGAAAGCTAGCCAACTAGTATTATTTGCTCATACCCACACATAAGACTTACAAGAAGGGGCCTGTACCTTATAGATCATTTCAGCTTCTTCTTGCTTTCCGATCTCTTCACTACACTGTGCCCAAGTAAGCCACAATGGAAGACAAATCTGCTCACAATACAACAGTTAGAAAATGACAGCTTAGTGCCATGATCTGAAACTAGTCACGATAAAGTTATGATCCCCCGAAATAATATGTGAAATATGAAGTCATTTCCAGTCTGTCTTCATGGAACCCTTGGTGCCTGGCAGGAATGGTACGCCAAAACCGACAGCCTTTGGACTCAGTCACCCAAAGTAACACTATTCTGTTAATTCTACTTCCCCTCTCCTGGGGACTACTGCCTAAAGTGACTATTATCAATGACCTGTTAGGTAAGCACTCAACAACCCACAATTACACCCAAGCTATCCAGATCATTATGTACGATCTGGAGTCTGCTATGCAGGATCACAACGCAAGTGCCAACTAATCCAGGCTGAACTGCCTGGACTTCACTCATGTCCCAGCAGCTCACACAGATAAGCAATAAAGTAATTATGATTTCTCCCCACTTTAACCCCTAGAATGCTTTTCTCCTACTAGTATGAGAGTCACCATGAAGCTTTAAAGCTTATTCTTTTAAACTTAAAAATTTTTTTCAATTTTAAAATAAACTTTATAGAGTTTAGAAATATATGTGTTTAAAATGAGACTTAAGTTCAGCTTTGGAAGCATGTGAAAATAATATTCTATTAATATTTTTCACTTATCAGATATAGAAGCAGAAAAGTTTACATAGTTTAGTCTATTTTCAAATAAGACATAGAAACATGCTAGTAAATGGAAGTTATTCTTCCACCCATGATCCTTCAACCATCACCACGAATGCACTCTGAGGACAGCTCTCCTCTGACAAGTCTACTCCAAATGCACTTTGGCTGAAGTCTTAAAAGTTTTCCCAAATAGAACGAAATGCAAAAGACCCAACTCACAGACCTGGGGTTTCAGGTACTCAAAGGCTTGGTTAAAAACCTTGGTCATCTCCTGGCTCTCTGATGAAATCATGGCCTCCAGCTTCACCTGCCACATCTCCGATGATTTTCTGAACAATTCCACCCCAGCATCTGCCACCTCCAGGGATTCCTTAAACAACTCTCGGTACAGCAACAACTTGCTCTGCAGAAAACAAAAGGTCATCCAAGAGTCACTGCTGAGATCTACGTTATCTAATTGGAATTTCACCTCCATTCCTGTTCCTATCCCCAAAGACTATCGAAAAAACAGAAAAGAGCCAAAAAGCAAAGGGCCTAAATAATTTAGATTGAAAGCTAAATTGTTAATAACATAGTTCACTGCAATAAAACCCACACCCACCAAACAGAATATAAAAATCAGTAAAGATAAAACTACTATCTGTGTTGTGGTAAAGAACTCATTCAATCAAACAAGAGCCTGGAATACTATAAACTGGTACCATTTCTCTGAAGAGTCATAAGCATGTTCATGCATAAACTTGTGGAGTCTTACTTTAGCAAGTATGACCCAAGAAATAAATGAACAGGAGGAAATCTTATCTGTTCAAAAATGCTTGTGTCCACACTACTGTAACAGGGACAGAAAAATCTAAAACCAATCATTATAAAATTGTGAAGCAGTAAGTAAATGGCCATATGTAATCCATTCATTCAACAAGCATGTAACTGCACACTGTGTATTATTACTGAATCTTCAATAATGAGGAGGTAAGGTGTGTTCCCTAACGCCCACAGTGCCTCCAGTCTAGCACCAGAGACAATGTGATATTGTATGATCACCAGAGACAATGTGATATTGTATGATCACAGAAAAAGAATCATACGCTACAGGAGTACAAAGCACTGTCTCTGGCAGTGATCAGAAAGGGCTCCCCAAATGGAAGTCCCATCTAGCCAAGAGTTTAGGAAGATCAGGCATTATTCAGGTGAAAGCAGAGATTGCCAAGAAAAGAGAAGACTCTCCCACCGACATAAGCAAGAGGCTAAAGATGACAGAAACTTTGGATCCAAAAGGAAATCGAAGCACAGGATGACTGGAGGGCGGGGATGTAAACTGGAGGGATTGGAAATTCCTTGGGGGCCAAATTAAGGAGACTGAGCAGCTTTATCCAAAGGACAATGGGAAGCCACAGGATAACCTGATTATCGATTTTAAAAGATCATTCTGTGGAGAATAATCTGGAGAAAGGATGGGTGTACAATCAGCCAAGCATTTGAAGTTAAGAGGCAGTACAGTGAAGGGACTCCCACAAAAGGCAAGGTCACTAGATCAGTGACAAGCAGGGAGGTCTGGAAGGGTTACTGCAAGAAATGTAAAGAGGACATGATGTCTGAAATGGCCAGAGCAGGCCTGCCCTGGTGGTCCAGTGGTTAAGACTCCATGCCCCCAATGCAGGGGATACAGGGTCAATCCCGGGTTGGGGAAGTAAGATGCCACATGAAACATAGTGCGGCCAAAACTTTAAAATAAATAAATACATAAAAATAAAAATGAAATGGTTAGAGTTATGACTGGCAAAGAAACCAATAATGGAACATGAACAGGACTACCAAGGCACTCCGAGACACATCCAGCTGAACGAATGTACAGCTGAACAAACGACTGTCTTGCCAGTACTCAATAACAGCTCAAACATGGCATTTGAACTCATCCAGATAGGGGATTTTTCACAGCTAAGATGCTGTAACAGATGAAGGGCAACCCACTCGTGGTATAACACGATACACTACTAACATGTTGCTTATGTAGATCCACGTGAAAAGTACAGAAAAAATATTAACACAAAAACAGAATACAAAATAGCAAAACATCAATGGCAGTTATGTAAAAACTACGTATATTACATAAATAAAAAGAACTGTACAAATAAAAGGTACTCAATAAATACAGATTTTTGTCCTTTCTTCCCCTACAAAAGTATTTAAATACATTAACATTCACAATCTCATGTAATGCTCCCAACAGTTTCACGAGGTGGCAAAAACAAGGATCACTATCACTCTAAAATCAAGTCAACAATCTCAGAAGGGTTAAGCAGTCTGCCCATTACATGGCAAAATCCAGTCTAGACCTGTGCATTCCCACACTACTATTAATAATAATAACCCCACTATTATTCTGGTCTCTATTAATCTTTACCCACTTCAGAACATAAGGATGAGTTAATATGCTTCTTACTAAAATGTCCTTTAAAACACTAGAACTTATCTGTCTTTACTGTACAAACGGTTACTCTGAGCTAAGCACAGGTTCAGGAAAACATGAACAGACAGACAGACAAAATACACCCAAGTATGACTCTTGAGTGTTTCCCACTATGCACTAAATGACACTCCTCCTTCTACTGGTACAGATTTCATTTCTGGCCCATACCAAATACTGACAGCCAAATACTAAACTCTACATCTACCATGCCAATCTTCCAAATGAGCTTAGTTATAAAACCATATATATTAAAAAACACGATACAAGCATAAGCCAACCACAATGAAGTACATGTAATTGGCATGGATGTGTCCTTACCAACTGCCTGTACTGGAATTCTGGTAAAAGTTTCAGCTCATGTCCCTTCCAGAATGTAGCCATGGTTCTTTTCAGCCTCTGAAATCAAAAAAATCTTTTCAGTTCATTACAAAGATCCGAGCAGGGGCCTTTAGCCTCTGACAGGAACAGACACAGTTTTACTTCTGAGAATTCAGAGAAGGGACTGAGGTGGTTTCACTTACGACTCCCGGATTTGGGCAGCTGCACCAGGCACAGCCCAGTAAGAGCGCCCCCACCATGGCGGCCAGAACTAGAGCAAGCAGCTGACTCAGACCTTTCAAGTCAGGAAAAAGTGGGTAGGCATGACCTTCTTGGAAACGCCAGACCCCAAGAAGCTGTGCCCATGTTCTTTCAGAAAACACTTTCCGCAACTTCCCTGGTGGTCCAGTGGGTAAGACTCTGTGCTTCCAACGCAAGACGCATGGGTTAAGATCCCCACGTGCCATGAAGCCCTTCACACCCCGCCAAAAAAAAAATATGTGTGTGCATATGTATGAAAAAAAGAAGACATTGTCTACTCAGCCACTTTAACCACTTAAAAGTCAATACCTTCTTTCTGAGGAGGCGACTGCTTGTCTTCTTAGTAAATCTCTTCATGCAGAAGCTCATGTAACACTTCCACATAGCCTCTGAAAAAGTCAAAGCTTATGTTAATCAGACCACCACCCATTATTTTAGTCTAACAGTCTTCACATCTTCTCAGGAAAAGTTCCTGAGGAAGATTTTGAAATGGAAAAAAAATAAATTATCCTGATTACAGTCTATCAATTACCTCAAATATTGAGGGCCAAACAACTGAGAAATGGCAGAAATATAAACATTAAAAGCCTTAAAAAAAAAATAAAAGCCTATCCATGTCAGGTACCTGCTACTCTTCCCAATATTACAAAATTGTGAAGTAAATGTGTAACAGGAAATAATCAAGGAATGATGACTAAGCACTCTGCTGAAATATCATTTCCTCAGTATAATTTCGGCTTCCCTGATAGATCAGTTGGTAAAGAATCTGCCTGCAATGCAGGAGATCCTGGTTTGATTCCTGGGTCAGGAAGATCTGCCGGAGAAGGGATAGGCTACCCATTCCAGTATTCTTGGGGTCCCTGTGGCTCAGCTGGGAAAGAATCCACCTGCAATGCAGGAGACCTGCATTCAATCCCTGGGTTGGGAAGATCCCCTGCAGAAGGGAACAGATACCCATTCCAGTATTTTGGCCTGGAGAATTCCATGGACTGTATAGTCCATGGGGCCACTTTAACTGTGTGGATCACAACGAACTATGGAAAATTCTTCAAGAGATGGGAATATGAGACCACCTGACCTGCCTCCTGAGAAATCTGTATGCAAGTCAAGAAGCAACAGTCAGAACTGGACATAGAACAATATGGTTCCAAATCAGGAGTACATCAAGGCTGTATATTGTCACCCTGCTTATTTAACTTATACGCAAACTATGCGAAATGTCTGGCTGGATGAAGCACAAGTTGGACTCAAGATTGCAAGAAGAAATATCAATAACCTCAGATAAACAGAGGAAAACAACAGAATGGCAAAGACAAGAGACCTCTTCAAGAAAATTAGATACCAAGGGAACATTTCATGCAAAGATGGGCTCAATAAAGGACAGAAATGGTATGGACCTAACAGAAACAGAAGGTACTAAAAAGAGGTGGCAAGAATACACTGAAAATCTATACCAAAAAAGATCTTCATGATCCAGATAACAACAATGGTGTGATCACTCACCTAGAACCAGACATCCTGGAATGCAAAGTCAAGTGGGCCTTAGGAAGCATCACTATGAACAAAGCTAGAGGAGGTGATGAATTCCAGTTGAGCAATTTCAAATCCTAAAAGATGATGCTGTTAAAGTACTGCACTCAATATGCCAGCAAATTTGGAAAACTCGGCAGTGGCCACAGGACTGGAAAAGGTTAGATTTCATCCCAATTCCAAAGAAAGGCAAAGCCAAAGAATGCTCTAATTACCACACAATTGAACTCATCTCACAGGCTAGCAAAGTAACGCTCAAAATTCTCCAAGCCAGGCTTCGGCAGCATGTGAACCGTGAACTTCCAACATGGCAAATAGATGGGGAAACAATGAAAACAGTGACAAGACTATTTTCTGGAGCTCCAAAATCACCACAGATGGTGACTGCAGACATGAAATTAGAAGACACTTGCTCCTTGGAAGAAAAGCTATGACCAACATAGACAGGATATTAAGAAGCAGAGACATTATTTTGCCAACAAAGGTCCGTCGAGTCAAAGCAATGGCTTTTCCAGTAGTCACATATAGATGTGAGTGTTAGACTATTGAAGAAAGCTGAGCACCAAAGTGATGCTCCTGAACTGCGGTGTTAGAGAAGACTCTTAAGAGTCCCTTCGACAGCTGGGAGATCCAACCAGTCCATCCTAAAGGAAATCAGTCCTCAATGTTCACTGGAAGGACTGATGCTGAACCTGAAACTCCAATGTTTGGCCACCTGATGTGAAGAACCAAGTCAGTGGAAAAGACCCTGATGCTGGGAAAGATTGAAGGCGGGAGGAGACGGGGACAACAGAGGATGAGATGGTTAGATGGCATCACCAACTCGATGGACAGGAGTTTGAGCAAGCTCCAAGAGTTGGTGATGGACAGGGAAGCCTGGCGTGCTGCAGTCCATGGGGTCGCAAAGAGTTGGACACAACAGACCAACTGAACTGAAGTATAATTTATTTCCCCAAATAAATGAACAAGTGCCACAGCTCTCAGGGAAGATCATAAAACAGAAAGAAGTGGAAAGCCAGCCAGGCACACTGTAAGCTACCACAGAGGTTCCAGAACTGATTCTGTTCCTGACAATGAAGCTCCAGGTCCCCACTCAGGAACACCATCGCTGCTCGGGGCACAGGGCCTGGGGAACCTCACCTGTGGGCAGAGTTTTTACCGCCTCCTCGTACACAGCACAGCACCTCTCTTCCCGGCGGCCCACCTCCTTCGCTTTGGCTTGTTTAGTTGCAGGCAGCTCTTCTCCTGGCTGTGATTTAATCACTAATTCTTGCCGGGCCACATAGTCCCAAGTGAGGGGGTCGTCTGTGTGCAGAGCCTTAAGGCTAAAAAATAGTGATATCAACCTAGGACATGTAACTGATTCAGACTATCAGAACAGAGAGTCCCAATGCTCTGACAATGTACGGAGGACACTTCTTTATCAATTCCCTCATCACAAGAGTCATTTCCCACAGGCTCTTCAGATGTCTTCACCCTCACTATCAATGGATGAGAACAGTCCATCCATTAACAAGCATCCACACTTGTTAACTGCAGACTGTCTCATTCATAAATATTAGCTTACAAATTAGATGTCAAAGTCAAAGGCAAGTATGTGTGACAAGATTGGTTGTCCTGGTTCTCGAGCCCAGGAGAACCTTCTCATAACCAGGCTCCGGGTTTTCTCTAATAGGAGTCTAATCCTCTACCAAAAACCTAAAGGTATCCACAGAGCAAACAGATCCAAGTTCTATCTTACCTCCTATCAAAGTAAGAGTCCTCCCAAGAGTGAAGGACCCACAAGTTAGGCTGCAAATAATTCTTCAACCATACAACCAGACATTAAAACAATAAAGTCTGATTACCTGTAGCAATGAACTATAAACATTCACTCACTCTCATCTTAAGGACAAAAAACACGTCAGGAAAGCAAGAATAGACTTTTACATAAGCTATAGGATACATTTCTTGCTGAACAAAGATAAACTATTTCCCAAGGAAAGCCAGTAAGTGAGTCAAACAACTTCTCCAAAAATACATTTTTCAGGGACTACCCTGGCAGTCCTGTGGTTAAGACTCCATGCTCCGAATGCAGGAGGTCTGGGTTCGATCTTTGGTCAGGGAACTAGATCCCACATGCCACACTAAGGCCTGGTACAGCCAAATAAATAAATATTTTTAAAAAATACATTTATGTACTGTGATATAACAGTCCAAAAACAGCTTTCTCCCCAAGAATTGTATATGGTATCTTCCTTCCCCTTCTCTAAATATCCAACTTAAATCATTACCCTAAGATCAAAACTGACATATTCACCTTTCCACTACTTTACTTACTCATTGTAAATTTCTCTTTGCAGATCTTTGGCAAAGTCGAACTGCTGTGCAATTGAAAGCAGTGACACATGAAATTTTGCACCTAAAATTAAAGCAGGGGAGTGGAGTAAGACTCTAAAGGAGCACTTTCTCGAAGTACTAGCATTAGTTTTGTTTTTTTTATAAAATGGGAAGTAAGAGAAAATGGGGAAGAAAATAACAGTCCCACTATATAGAGTCTTTGTTAATATCTGAGTATTCATTAAGTACTTTTAACTTTTATTCTAAGTGTCTTAGGGCAAAAAGGAACTTAATTAAATCATTTACTTCTTTTCAACTCCCCACATGATTTAGGTACTCAAAAACTTATCAAAACATGGTTATAATCCAAGGGGAAATCTGCCTTTTCTTAAAGAAACAGGACACTATTTCCTACAATCATGAGTTTTACACATTCCAACAGAAATTTTCAAAACAGGCTAATGGTCTTCCTCATTATGGTGTTTCATTTTCCCATCATAAATAAGTTTTCAAAAGATACCTACTTTTAATTACACTTATAGAATTCTTATAGACGATCCGTGCCAACTCGCCCGTAAGGACTTCTTCAGCATGCTCGAGATTCCCCTAAAGAGTGTGATGTTAAACAACTGAACAGATGGTGCTGACAAGCAGAAAAAGCACTAGGGTCCCAATTAACAACCCCAGACTAACTGTGCCACATGACAGCAATCACACATGACATCCATCACATCTCTCTCTAGGCCAGTTTCCCTCAGTTGTCAAATGTGCAGCCTGAACAAGATCTTTGATCTTACAACTGCGTTCCCAGGCTCCTAGAGTTATAGTAAGATCACACGGCTAAAGGCCCTACTCTCCATCTTGCCCTTAATAGGTCAGGTTTTACGTGCTTTGTTTACCCTTCTATGTAAAATTTTAGCTAGTTTAAAAAGTTCAAAGCTGGAAACCACTGTAACAGATGATAGCGAAGTTCCTTTTTCAGCTCTGACATCCTCAAACTTTTTTCTTTAAACTCACTCTGTCAGGTAAAAAATTACATGAATAGAAAAACAAAGAAGGCTAGGGATCATACATTTCACCACCTTTCTTGAGCTCCTTAGAACCATTAACATATCACTGATTGAGATCATAAAGAAGAGTTTTTGGCCATTCCATCAGGAATAATTTCAAGGGCCACTCCAATGAGTCCAAGAGTTTATTTTAAAAGCACAGAATTTCATTTTTACTACTAGGCCCATTTTAATTAAGTCAATGCAGGACATTAGAAGTTTCCAAATATTAAGCTGGAATGAAAAATACATTCTGGGACTTCCTGGATGGTCCGCACGCCAATGCAGAGGATATGTGTTCAATTCCTGGTCCAGAAAGATTCCACATGCCTTAGAGAACTAAGTCCATGTGCTCCAACTACTGAGCCCACGTGCTACAACTACTAAAGCCTGCACACTCTAGGACCCATATACAACAACTAGAGTAGCTCCCACTCACAACTAGAGAAAGCCTCCACGAGGCAATAAAGGACCAGTGCAGCCAACAATAAATTTGAAAAAAGAAAAAAAAACTCTGAAGATTTTCTTTTTATCTCACTTTGTCTCCAAGACCTTAAACCGAGAGCCTGCAGGCTGTCAGTCACACGGTGCTGGAGCTGCTATGGCACTGGAATGGAACCCGCCAGCCACAGGCAGACCAGAAGGTCACGAACAGTGCTCCCAAAGACTTTCTTTGACTCCTAAGCAGATTCCAAACACTCGTATCTTTTTAACAAGTGACAATGTATTAGGGTCTTACCATATCCATGTTGGCTTTTTCAAACTCTTGCTTTTCCTTCATCAATTTTTCAGCATGCATCAGCTCCATCCTAAAGTACTACACAAAAAGGAAATAACAAACCAATTATCTTTGGAGATAATTTTTTAGTTAGAAATATGTAAGATGACACTTCTTACTTGTAAGTATCAGATCTTAAAAGTTTGGAGAGACTATTGCATTTTACTTTGTTATGAAACTAGCTGACATTGATAAGATATAGTTTTTTGCTCTTTTGCTTTTGGTCATGCCAGATTTTACAGAAAAAAGAGCAAAAGAAGCAGGAAGGGAGACGAGGGGAGGAAGAAGTGGAGGGGAGGAGACGATGGGAGGGGTGAGTCAATATACGAGGTACATATATACACATGTACACAAGTATAAAGATGAACCTTAAGCCTCAACTAAAGAAAGGTAAGGTTCAACTCCCTATCCCTCCCACCATAATGGGAAGGTAGAGGAGTCTCCATCTCTCACTAAAAATGAACAAGGTAAACACCTACTACTGGCCAAAAAATAAATACTCTTCTGGCCCCTTTTCCCCAGCAGCTCCCTTACTTATCCTGAGACTCCATAAATCAAAGCCTTTTTAACTTAATGAAGCATACATGTCTTCTCCAGAGGACAAACAGAGCCATTACTCTCATCTTATGTGCACACACACTCACTTCTTCATAAAGTTTCGGGTAACGAGGGTGAAAGCGCAGAGCCCGAAGAAATAGCTGTCTTGCACTTTCTGAAGACAAGTGGTCTTCCATTTCCCATTTCGCCGCCAAAATCCACAAACCTGTAAGTGAAGACATCCAACTTCATTTCAATCAAGTAATCAAGTCAAGTATGAAAAGACCAATGCTCCCATTTTTATACCCAACTTTTTTTAACCTTGACAATCAGGAAGAACGGGATGGAGATACGGAGTTTATAACAGTTTATAAAGTACTGCTCCTTTATCAAAAATGAAAAAGTGTTCTGAACCAAACTGGTAAATGTTAACATCTGTGGGTACTTATGTGTCTATTACTCTATTTCATCAGATCCAAGGTCAATCATCTCATTTTTTAGTCACATAAAAAATTTAAAAGTGTTAAAACAGTGGGAAAAATTGTGCATCGTAAGAGTCAATGAAATAAATTATTTTGCTCTTCTCTCTGTATTTAAATCATTTTTCATTTAAATGAAAAATGACTTAAATACTAATGATTTCTTTCAAATGACTTATAATTTAAAATTTTTTTCTACTGTACTTACTGGGAATAAAGACTTCAAAAGAAAAAACCTTTGCCCTTCTACATGAGAAATTAATCTTTAGTTAACATTCTAGCTCTCTCCTAGAAACTTCATAGAATCAGCTATTACCAGAGAAGACTGCTTTTGGTAAAAATGGCTCATGGTTGGTAACTGTGTCTGGACTAGGAGAACTCTGAACAGTACAGAGCCACTGCTTTGCACTTTCTTGAGCATGTGACTTTTGAAACAAGAGTTTTGAGCAGAGTTCATATATACAATACCTGGAAGCTACATGCCTCCAGGGGTCTTCTCTCCTCTGCCCACTCATGTGTTCTCATGCTCTCACATCTGAGACAAATCTCCAGGCTGCTGAGAGCACTACCGCCTTCCAGCTGAATCCTTCTGAATCAACTGGTGCCAAACGCAGCCAATTCTGAATCTTGTGTAGGGTAAGCCTAATACTCGAGGACACTGAAGCATCTCCACTATAAAATATCGGTGTTCACAAGAGGAGGTTTTCTCCTTGAGTACCTCCCTGTGCAGTGCCACTGCTGCTCTTAGTCACTAAGTCGTATCCAACTCGTTGTGATCCATGGACTGTAACCCGCCCACAATTTTCCAGGCAAGAATACTGTGGGCTGCCATTTGCTTCTCCAGGGGACGTTCCCTGGGACATTCCTCTCCCAGGGATCGAACCCAAATCACCTGCTCGGCAGGTGGATTCTTTACCATTGAGCCGTCCAGGAATAACCCTTGTAAAAATCTGTATTCCTATTTCCCCCTTAAGTTTCTGAAATCCTCAGATTTGAGTGCCTCCAAACAGAATACCCCTCAAAGCACTGAAGAGTTCCACTATCAGTTAAAAAGAACTGCAGTCCTTCTTGCCCATAGATACAGTATCTAGTAGCTTAGTTACTAGTATACAGCAGGCAGTGATGAACTAAAAGGCAGCTAATTTAGGAATAAAACCTGCTGAGGCCAAGATCCTACGCTCAGGTCCTGAAAATAATTCTTTCAGGTTTATAAAGCAAAATAAATTCCAAAATGGCTTGAGTCCACAAAAAAAGGTAGATAAAGAATTAACGAGGATATCACCGTACCTGGCTTGTTTGAATGAAAGGCCAACAAGGAAGAAAATAACTTGCTAAGTTGAACATTGGCAGCCTATAAAAGAAAAGGGAAAATTCTACTTCCTGCACAGCAAAGGCACTGCTATGAACCTCTAAGTGATCTGGACTATACTGTAACCACTGTAAAATCCAATGAGGCAAGATCTGTTATTGATAGGGAGATATAAACAAAGATTCACTCAGAGCTTTCTTCTACCTAAACAACTACAGATAAATATTTTACATTATCTAAAAAATGTTTTCAACTTTAATGAATAAATACACATAAAGGTCGTTTTCCTTTCAACTGATATAGAAGCCATCTATATAGTCATTCAGACACACAAATGTTACACTGAAGTCCCACATTCTTGAGTTCTCTTCCTGTTTGTTAACCTTCCCTACATCTTAGTATAAAACTGAGTTCAGCAATCAAGTATGAGGTTTAACATGCAGGCTAACCAAAAGAAGGAAAAAGGGAGCAAGACAGGGCTGCCCAATACTCACCCACTTCCTACAAAAGGCTACAAAAGACAGCCAAAGTTTAACATCATCCTGCAAGAAAAGCAATGTAGTAAGTTGCCTGAATTTGAAATTTTATATACATCTTTGCATTCATTAATTTTGTTTCCAACAGAGGAAGATTTCAGAAATTCCAATGTGTTATATATCACATCCCTCAGCCTATTAGCCTGTCTCTCACCCAGTCTTTAGATCTCTTAACCATGATAACTGTCTGTCTCCCCCTCACCCCCACCTCCCATGCTCTAAGACAAAAATCTATCAAATTTGTTTGATGCACTTTTGAGGGATTTGCCTGGCACTCCAGCGGTTAAGACTCCATGCTTGCAATGCGAGGGGCACAGGTTTAATCACTGGCCGGGGAACTAAGATCCCACATGCCATGCATCACAGCCAAGGAAATAATTTTAAATGCACTTCTCAAAAAAAAAAAAAAAAGCACTTCTGAAATGGTCTCAATCAGGAGTCGCAAATTAAAATTTGTCATTCCCAAGAAACCAGAGTACTTCCCAGATAATATACCCTGGCCCCAGAACCAAACCTGAAGAAAAACCAACTTACTGAGCTGCTGCCCCTACAAGGTCAAACCAGTCCATCCTAAAGGAAATCAACCCTGAATATTCATTGGTAAGGACTGATGCTGAAGCTGAAACTCCAATACTTTGGCCACCTGATGCAAAAAGCCTTCTCACTGGAAAAGACCCTGACGCTGGGAAAGACTGAGGGCAGGAAGAGAAGGAAGCGACAGGATGAGATGGTTCAATGGCATCATCGACTCAATGGAAAAACTCTGGGAGATAATGAAAGGAAGATAGACAGGGAAGCCTGGCATGGGGTTGCAAAGTTAGACACCACTTAGCGACTGAACAACAACTCTCACTTAGAGACATAAACAAACACATCTCAGATAATTTTATCATCCTTAAATATGTATGAAATCCACTGTTTTCAGCATCATCCTCAAAAAATAACTCTAAGGTAACGCAATCAATTTTCTTTATGGTTGATAATATGGTTTCAAGTAATGATACCATCACTAGAATAAGCATCAAGATACCCATGATAAGAATCCACAACCTCACATTTGAGCATCCAAGTCATAACACATACAACACATGTCCTCACATCTCTCACAGTTAAGGACACACTGAACACTTACTTTCCACTTAATCGTTGCACGTTGGAAGACACTCTGTATCCGACGTATCATAGGGTCCTCGATCTCATCCTTCTTAAATGTATATCCAACACGCTGAAAAAGGACATTAAAAAAAAAAGCCTCAGCTTAATCCCACTTATCCAAACCAGCATTCCCACTTGATCTCAAACAGTACTGACAGAGAAAGCAAACAGTTAAAAATATCACTACGAGCACACTACCACACAATTATCAGTGCCAATTGCTCCCCAAACCCAAGTTCTAGAGTCATATTAATTAATACTGTATTTTTTTCAACTTTCAGAAAATCTACTTACAGCTCTTCTTTTGTGGATCAGCTCCAAAAGGTAAATTTCATACTGTGAAAGAAAAACATACATAAAAAAGAAAACCAGAAATATTATAACCTTTTATTTACAGGCTATAAAACTATAAAGTAAATAAAAATCAAGAGTATAAAACAGAAGATAACTTTCTATCAAGAAACCTAATTTACAGTATGTATCTAGCATTCTCTGAAAATGCACCTTACATCTACAAAACTCACAAATACATACATTAGAATACAAATATCTTAGATAAAAGAACACATATTACTAAAGCTGTAAAACTTATGATTTACTATATCAATCTATCCTAGTCTACAACAGTGTGTGCCAACTTTCAGTAAATCAACCATTCAAATATTTTAGCCCATGTACAAGCAAATAAAGCAGATAAACAGGGTTATACTAGTTGAAACAGTCCCTAATTGGCTCTCCCTACCCTCACCTCTAAAGGACCCCTGAGAACTTCTAAGACTCCAAAAACCACTACTGTATAATTCCTCTCTAAGCCTGAAAACTACCGGGCGGGGGGGCGGGAATACTAGAAAAAGAAAGCACAGAACCTTACAAGATCTCATGCTTCATTTTTAAACTACCAAAATATTTCAAACATACAGAACACTCAAGCAGCTACCAGTTATATCAAAGCCTACATTTTACTGTATTTGCTTCAAGATATTTTTAGAAACAAAACATTTCAAATAAAGGCAAAGCCCCCTATGAACCATGTCTGATTCTACTCTTCTTCTTCCCCAGAGGAAATGACTATCTTGACTCAGTTGTTTACCATTAACAAGCATGACTTCAATTATTGTAATACAGTCTTAAATGCTCTTAAACTTGATACAAATGGTATCAAACTGAACCCATCACTCCATTATTTTACTCAACATTATGACTTTAGATATACCCTTGTTGTCACACAGAATTCAAGTCCATTCATTTTAACTGCTGTATAGTATTTCATTATAAGAAAGTGCAATTTACCTATCCTTTCTCCTGTGATAGTATTTGTTTCCAATTTTTCTATTACAGAAAGTTGAAATTAATATTCTTGAACAGATATTCTTGTAGATACATCCAGGAACTTTACTACTAACATGTAAGCTCCTAAAGGCAATGATTTTTGTTTATTTTTGTACCCCCACTGGACTGGCTAGTGCCATGTACGTAACAGGCCCTCAATATACACTGTATGAATGAATGAAACCACTGGGTCACAGAATACATGCATCTCTGATTTTATGATAGTGCCAAATTGCTCTTCAAAGTAGTGGAACAAACTATATACTAATAATGTCAATCTTTAAGATGTCTGTAAATGTGATGCCATAAAGCAGTAGTGCACCCTGGTTTTAATCAATATTTACCTGATTACTAGAAAGGTGAACACCTTTTCATAAGTTTACCAAGGACTGATGCTTCCCCTTTTGTGAACGGCATGTTCCTAGCTCTCCTGCTTTCATTTTCTTTCCACTTGTCATTTTTTCTTCATTTTTAGTTATTTACTTATTCTAGATTATTACTATATGTACTGCAAATATTTTATCTCATTTTGCGGCTTGTCTTTTTATATTATTTATCTTTTCCTTTTTGCACAGAAATTTCTACCTTTAACAATCAAATTGGTCTTCTCTTTCATGGTTTGTGCTTACAATTCACTCATAAAAAAAAGAATGAAATAAGGCCATCTGCAGCAAAATGGACAGACCTAGAGACTATTGCTGCTACTGCTGCTGCCAAGTCGTTTCAGTCATGTCTGATTGTGTGACCCCACAGAGAGCAGCCCACCAGGTTCCCCCGTCCCTGGGATTCTCCGGGCAAGAACACTAGAGTGGGTTGCCATGTCCTTCTCCAACACATGAAAGTGAAACGTGAAGGTGAAGTCACCCAGTCATGTCTGACTCTCAGCGCCCCCATGGACTGCAGCCTACTAGGCTCCTCCGTCCATGGGATTTTCCCAGCAAGAGTATGGGAGTGGGGTGCCACTGCCTTCTCCGAGATACACACTACTATATATAAAATACATAAGCAACAAGATCCTACTATATATAGCACAGGGAACTATAATCAATATCATGTGATAACCCATAATGGAAAAGAATACGAAAAAGATTTTGTGTGTGTATATACACACACATATATATGTATGAATAGCTGAATCACTTTGCTATCCACCAGAAATGAACACAGCATAGTAAATCAACTACACTTCAATTTAAATAAGAAACCTTTCCTGAGATGAAATCTCATACATCCTTTATATATGGAATCTTAAAAAAAAAAAAAAAAAAAAGACACAAATGAATGTACTCACCAAACAGAAAGAGACTCAGAACACAGACTCATGGTTGCCAGAGGGAAGGAACAGTCACTTTGGGAAGGTCATGTACACACTACTACATTTAAAATGGATAACCAACAAAAACCTATTGTATAGCACATGAACTCTACTCAATGTTATGTGCCTGCCTGGGGGAGAATGAATACATGCATATATACGTATGGCTGAGTCCCTTCCCTGTTCACCTGAAATTATCACAACACTGTTAATCAGCTATACCGCAATACAAAATGTTCTTGGTGTTTAAAAGAAGTAATAAAAACAAAATTTTTAAAAACAAAAATAAAAAAGAAACTCTTCCCAACCTGAAGTCATTCATTATTTTTAGAAGATTTAAAGTTTCCCCAACACATTTAGCTATTCAACAGGAAGGGATCTAATTTCTGTTGAATCCAGTGCGGCATTTTGCATGATGTACTCTGCATGTAAGTTAAATAAGCAGGATGACAACACACAACCTTGACATACTCCTTTCCCAATTTGGAACCAGTCCATTGTTCCATATCCAGTTCTAACTGTTGCTTCTTGACCTGCATACAGGTTTCTTAAGAGGCAGGTAAGGTGGTCTGGTATTCCCATCTCTTTCAGAATTTTCCAGTATGTTGTGATCCACACAAAGGCTTTAGCATAGTCAATGAAGCAGAGGTAAATGTTTTTCTGAAATTCCCTTGCTTTTTCTATGATTCAGCGGATGTTGGCAATTTGATCTCTGGTTCCTCTGCCTTTTTTTTTTCTCCCTGCCTTTTAAAACATCTGGAACATCTGGAAGTTCTTGGTTCATGTATTGCTGAAGCCTAGCTTGAAAGATTTTGAGCAATACTATGCTAGCTTGTGAGATGAGTGCAACCGTGCACTAGTCTGAACATTCTTTGACATTGCCTTTCTTTGGGCTGAAAATGAAAACTAACCTTTTCCAGTCCTGTGACCACTGCTGTTTTCCAAATTTGCTGGCATATTAAGTGCAGCACTTTAACAGCACCATCTTTTACGGTTTGAAATAGCTCAGCTAGAACTACATCACCTCCACTAGCTTTGTTTGTAGTGATGCTTCTTAAGGCCCACTTGACTTCACACTATAGGATGTCTGGATCTAGGTGAGTGATCTCACCATCATGGCCATCTGGGTCATGAAAATCTTTTTTGTATAGTTCTTCTGTGTATCCTTGCCACCTTTTCTTAATATCTTCTGCTTCTGTTAGGTTCATACAGTTTCTGTCCTTTATTGTGCCCATCTTTGCATGAAATGTTCCCTTGGTATCTCTATTTTTCTTGAAGAGATCTCTAGTCTTTCCCATTCTATTGTTTTCTTCTACTTCTTTGAACTGATCACTTAGGAAGGCTTTCTTATCTCTCCTTGCTATTCTATTAAACCTTAGGACCTTTCAAATACAAGATTCTTAGCCAGGTATCATTCTTAGTCATATAGCATTCATTAACTAGGTTTTTTTTTTTTTTAAACTAGGTTTTTTTTTAATCTAAGCTTTAGACCCTTTACTCTTATAATGTTTGTTAGTCTTAAATTTTAAGACTTACAACATCTCCTTACTGGGTTCTTTCTGAATCCTGAATTTGTCCTCCAACAGATTATTCTCGCCAAACTGAAAATTGATCTAGCATATATATTTTATCTTCACTCAATTCTTCCATTCATTCACAGGACTGAAGAATCTTGTAGCAAATCTAACCTCTTTCTAAATCAACAGACTACAAGCATCTAATATTAACTTTCTAACCACCTGCTAGCATCAAACTCACACTCCTTTATTTTTCCCCACAAGACATAATCAAATCTCTTGCTGAAATTCCAACACACCGGTTTTTTGGAGTCTCTGATGTACTAACCCTACAGAATAATAAAAAGTTGTTTTCCAAGGACAAAAGCCTTAGCAGAGCAACACTATTCCCAAGTCACCTCTATTCCTGTTCAAAAACTGCCTTTCTACCCACCATCAGTTCCAGAAGTTCAAAAGAAACTGACATCAAGCTACCTGTTCTATAACTGATTTTAAATTTGTGAGGGGATTCAGAGGTAGTAAAATTACTCACCTGAACATATCTGATAAAGCTGTCCTTTGAAAGACTTCTTCGCTGTATTCCATATTCTAGTTCTGAAGCCTTCCTAATGATTGCCCTGAGGAGAAAGCCACTTAAAATGTAACACTTGACATACGCAGAAATTAAAGACTTTGGAATTTTAAAAGTCTATTTTCAATACATTTAAAACATATATTTGCCAAAACATATAATTCCCAAATAATTATCCTTCATTAAGCAAATATTCTCTTATATAATCACTTCTGTATTCTTTATTATTATTACTAAGGCATAATTGATTTACAGTATTTAATAGTTTCAGGACTTATGTGGTCTCAAGGGCATGAAGATGTACTTTAAAACTTTCATGTAAATCACCTCAATTGACAGCCTGGACCACTGATAGTCCCACCAGCAAAGATTTCTTTTCCTCCAAATTCAGGTCACTTCAGTTTAAATAATAAACAAATTTATTTCCTAAATTCCCCTTCTTTCTGAATTCTCAACAAGCAGATTAGGAAAAAAAAACAATCTGGATTGTCTCTACCAGTATCATTACTACAAAGGGCTTATGGTGGAAGACTCGCTGTATTTAAGAAATGAACATGGGTATATTAGAATTAAAGCAAGATGTGCAAGACCAAAAATCGCCTCTATTTAACAGTAACAATAACATTTACTAAACAGTTATTAAAGAATTAACAATATGTTATGTTTTATTAACAAATATTAAAGGTTCCCAGAGTCACAGTACATTTGCAGTCACTGTAAAATGAAAAAAGTCACAGAAAGCTATTAAAAACTATTAAACTAAATTTTAACAAACTAATGAATAACTACATGCTGGTCGTGGTTCACTAAGCCCGAGGATAAAACATGAAACTGAATTAAATGATCCCCAAAGTCAAGTCTTTTCAGAGAAAACATCACTCGTGGACCCACGGTCCAGTGGCGAAGAGACGCAAGAGACGCCGGTTCAATCCCTGGGTCGGGAATACCCCTTGAAGTAGGAAATGGCGACCCGCTCCAGCATTCTTGCCTGTAAACTCTATGGACTGAGGAACCTAGCGGGCTACAGTCTGTTCACGGTGTCGCAGGGTGAGACGCCACAGAGCAGTCACACACTCCTAGGCGCACAGCACTCTGCTGGCATCTTTAGGCAGTACACTCGGCTACCAGCAACTTACAGCACACTGTACCGTGCAAAAAATGTTTCACTTGTCTCACTCCCCTTCAGCCCCCCGCTACTGTGTCGGGGTTGCTGCTAGCTGTTGAAGGGTAGGGGTCCTGGTTTATCACCTTTAGAGCCTCAAAACTCGGCTCCATGAAGAAACATACTGTTTGCGGGAAAAAAGGACGCATCCCCTAGCAATGAATGAGAAATTAATTCTAGGTAACATCAAAATCTGTAAACGGCCTTCCGCCATATTAGCAAAAAATAAAAACCCAACTGCCCCCGCCACACACTCGCCACTGCCTCTCCTCTGCCCGCCCCAGCCCTTCCTCTTTCCTCCGCTCTCTCACCTAATCTCGTCCTCACTGAAGAGTCCAGTGCGCTCCAACTGTTGTAATTCGGGAAGTCGATCCTCTAAACGTTCCTGAGCTATTTCCGCCATGATAGCCGAACTCCACAACCCACCAGAGCTCCTCTCAGCGACGACGCACGAAGGAAATGGCCACCCTCTAATCCCGAGAACCGGCCAAAACGTTCGCACGTGCTGACGTAACGAGCGCCCTAAGTCCCGCCTTTTCCGCTTCCGCCGCCTCCACCATAGGACAGGGCTTCCTGGCTCTTGCGGCCGCTGTCTCCTCCTGGTGGCTGACCGTGGGGTTGCAGCGAGTACCTCCTCAACTCTTGTACTCGAGGTCTGGAGCTGGGACGCGGGGCTTAGGATGGGGGCGGCGCTAAATTCGCGCACGGATAGACCTGGCCTGGGACCGGGAAAAGCACCTCGCGGTCTGGAGGGTTTACCTGAAAGGGGCCTGAAATGCATTTTCTGCAAGATCCTGTCTCCTTTTATTCTGGTTTCCAACACTTAGAACCAAAATACAAACACCCCAAGGGGGAAGGATAGAAAATAACGTAAAACTGTAGTAAGCTTTTCAGAGAGTGATGAAAATTGTAGGGGGCGCTAAAAATGGTTCAGGCTGTCCCAAACACTATGCCTTTGCATTCGATGAGATTTGGTAAACTAGTGTGATAACACTGGTTTTTCATGTGCCAATTAGATAGTGATTAATTTTTAAATGAGGAGAGAGTTTTATTATTTAAAAAACTATACTGCCTTTGCAGACAATATCTTTCAAAACATGGCCGGCCCCTGGGTCGATATCAGAAACTTTTTTTTTATAAGAAGAGGGAATCTTGGTATTGAAAAGTTTGGGAGTTCCCCAAATAAGAGTCCATAAGATACATACCCTCCTGAAACCTCTGCCGAAGCAAGTCAGCATTTCTAAGAAACAGACAACCGAGCCTGAAAGTGATATTGTTCGTGTCATTACTAAATCTAAAATATTAACTATGTGGCTCAGTTCTTTTTAAGTTCTGGAATATGATTTCAAAATACCAAAGCAGGAGTTCTTGCTAGACCCGTTTATTTCAACATTGGCATTAGTAACTTGATCCTCCATGTGATTGATTAAAGGGGAATATAGGCTTAGCAATTAACCATGTTCTACCCTTGATCCTTCCCTTTCTTTTTTTCTCCCCTTCTGGTCTCAGATTTTAGGCTAAGGGTGGCTTGATTCTTGGTCCCCTCAGCTGTAAGACATGAGGGATGTGGAAGGAAATTATGGGTGTAAAACACAGATGGAATTTCTTTATAATAGGAAAATCTCTGGGGCCTGTGTTAACAGTAAGAGCACAAATGTCCCTAGAGAGTAAGGTCCATATGGGCAGATTTTTGTTTCCTCTACCTTGATACCTGGGACCTTAGAACAGTGCCTAAAATGTAACAAACACTCAATTAGTAAAATCATGACAGAATGAGAAAATGGACTGAATGTTCTTTAGGTCCAAAGGAATCAGCAAGCTCTGGTAAACTTTCCTTTCAAGGCAAATTTGATGGATAACTGCATCAAATCAACCCAACTATAATACTTTGCTCTCTTATTTTCAAATTTAGCTTCTACGTTCATCTTGCTCTGCGTGGTTAGTCACGTCTGACTCTTTACAACCCCGTGGACTCTTTGCAACCCCTGCCAGCTCATCTGTCCCTGGGATTTCCCAGGCAAGAATACTGGAGCAGGTTACTGCTTCCTCCTCCAGGGGGTCTTCCCCACCCAGGAGTCAAATCCAAATCTCTTGTGTCTGCTGTGTCTCCTTCATTGACAGGCAGATTCTTTACCACTAGCACTACTTGAGAAGCCCCTTATGTGCTCTACGAATTATTACAATGATAATGACAAAACTTCTTTTGTCTCTTCTGCATCTCATAATCATAGTGATCACTTGTCTAGGACTTACCAATACTGTGTGCCCAGCACCTACGTGCACTAAGTTTTCTATAGATTAACTCTTCTGTTCATCACAGACATTTCAAAATATCAACCTGAGAAGGAGCTCTTGAAGCGATAAAAAGCACTATTAAAGAAAGTCCAGTACAGCAGAAGAAACTGCGTAATACCCCCTGGCTCTCAGAATCCTTAGCTCAGCACAGCCTCCTTTTTGTTTGTATTGTTTTTTACCCATGCCACTCAGGATGTGTGGGATCTTAGTTCCCTGACCAGGGATTGAACCCGTGTCCCCTTTATTGGAAGCTCAGAGTCTAATCACTGGACTGCAAGGGAAGTCCTTGAGCACACCTTCTAATTAAGAAACCAAGGACCTGAGAAAAAGTACTCTTGAGTCTGGAGCTCTAAGGTGTACCTCAGAAAGTTTGGCGTATCTATTCGTCCTTTATTTGACCTTTAAAATTAACCATAGATATCAGATTATTAAGCAGGTCCAGACTGTAAAGAACCTGCCTGCAATGCAGGAGACCCAGGTTCAATCCCTGGGTCAGGAAGATCCCCTGGAGAAGGGAATCGCTACCATTCCAATATTCTTGCCTGGAGAATTCCATGGACAGAAGAGCCTGGTGGGCTACAGCCCGTGGGCTCTCAAAGAGTTGAACATGACTAAGCAAAGAACACTTTTCACACTTTTACTGACTGGGAAGGGGGCACAAGGGAGCCTACTGGGTGCTGGAAATTTCTGTATCTGATCTAGATGGTTTTTATATGAATGTATAAATTATAAAATTCCATCCATTGAGGGATACACTTAAGATTCATGCACTTTATGAAAGTTATACTTTAAAAGAAAAACATTAATGCCCATGCCTTCTCTTTGAGGATATCTTTCTCTTAGAGAGCTTCGACTATAATTTTTATGTGTGTGGCAGGGTCAAAATATTGACACAAAAGACCAAAGCCTTCTTCCTCTGAAAGAGTTCATTCTAATTTTGCATTCTGGCCCACAGTACATTAGTGTTTGTTTGAATATAAGTTATCGTGGTTTTCCCCCAAGCTTGTCAAGGAAGATTACTTCCAGAAAGCTGTACCCTGCTCACCTGGTGTAGAGCAACATTTGGTCCCATTGCAATGCTCAGAAGACAATTTGGAAAACAGTAAAGACAGGTCTCACTTGGGGTCCCAAGACAATCTTTTAAGAAGTCTGATGGATGAACATTAGCCAGACATTTGAGTGTGTGAGTGCATGTGTTCAACATTTTGTGACTCCATGGACTGTAACCCACCAGCCTTCTTGGTCCATGGGATTTTCCAGGCAAGAATACTGGAGTGGGTTGCCATTTCCTCCTGCAGGGCATCTTCCCAACTCAAGGACTGAACCCATGTCTCCTGCATTGGCAGGTGGGTTCTTTACCACTAGCACCACCTGGGAAGCCCCAGATATTTGCAAATCAAGTTATAATTTCTATTATGGCCTTCAAAGTACTTAAATGTTAATTTCAAAATAAACTTTAACTTTTCCCTAGAATATTCATTGTCACATCTGAAGATTAAGTTCACGAATAGCTCAGTGGTTGAAAACAACAATGAAGGAATTCCTTGGCAGTCTAGTGGTTAGGCCTCTACACTTTTACACTTTCACTGCTGGGGCCTGGTTCAAAAAATGCCAGCAGAAAAAGAAACACTCCTCTCTTTATTCCATTTTTATTATTAGGTAAAGAGATGTACCTAATTTCTGTGCTAATGAGAGGAAAGACACCTGGAATCCCATCCCCCTATCTTGTTCAAAGTCCCCTGCCTGCTTCTCCCACACAGAGAGCCCTGGTAGACTTCAAAGTCACAGCAGAAGTGATAGACACAGTCTGGTCTTTGATGCCTAAGAACATCGGAGCCCTCAGTTTGATGCGGATGCAAAGCATCTGTACTTTTCAATCCTTTCATGTTATTTCACGTTGCTAACAACAAAAGCTGAAAAGTTTGAGGTGACATGCATTACACACATTAAAATATTTGGAACCAGGAACTTTTCATTTCTTTTTCTATTATATATAGCTTCTTTTACTTTCAGAACCACACTGGATAGTAAATTACTTCTGGCACACAGCCTTGTCAGCTTGCCAAATTTCAACTGGAGCAAGTTTTTACAGCTAGGCTAATAAGCCCTGAAAATTAGGAGGTAAGTATAATGGAAATAATGACATGGTCTTTAACTGTAGGAGCATAGAATGACAACGTGAGGTTCCAATAGATTACACTTTTCAAAGTTTTTTTATTCTAACGAAATCTTTTTAAAATTTTTTAGGTTATTCTAGTTCAAAATTCATGTAAATGGAAAGAGTTTCTTTTAATTGGTGAAAAGTACTTTTGTATTTTTTTTTTTTTTACTTTTGTGTTTTTTATGTTATTGCTTTTTGCAAATTCAGGGGAAAAAAAGAAAGGAAGAAAGAAAACCAAGAATATAGTAGCTTGGAGATAACAACCTACTATTAAAACAAACTGACATCTTGAAAAAACATGTTCTGAAATGATTGGCTTCCAGGATGGGGTGCAATTGTTTGTGTATGAATACTTTTCATCAAAGCCATAGCTAATTAGCTACATCAACTTCATTTCAATCCAGATAGAAACCCATACCCTGCTCAGTAACTTTCAGGTCTTTATGAACAAGTCTTCAAAAAATGGAAAATTACTGTGATCATTTGATTTTTATTGCTGAAACAGGTAGTATCGATTGTAAGGTAGTATCCATTTCTCTAAATTTAATTCTTACATCCATTCCCAATTTACAAATGACCAGGGAAATTCTTTTTCCCCTTCTTGCTCTGCCCTCCAATTAGACCTAGACTGATTAGCTTCAGCATCACGTGCTCAGTCCCAGATTGTTTAAGCAAGGAAGAAGCTTGGAGTTGTGTTATGTGTGTGTGTGTTTTAACTATATTAAAATAATATGGCCTTGCTCCAAAAATGCTAGCTTTCTTACAGCTCCCCAACCACACCACGCTGTTTTGTACTTCTGTCGACGCCCCTGTTCCATGTGCCTGGCATGTCTTTTGTCCCCTTATCTACTTGGCAAACATAGATCATGGTGGGGAAAAAAAGGAAGCCGGCCCTTAATGCCCCACCATCCCACCATCAACACCAATTTGTGTACTTACTTATATACATTTATATAAAGGGCTCAGCCTTGGCCACACCATGTGGCTTGTAGGATCTTGGTTCCCTAATCCGGGATGGAACCAGGGTCCTGGCAGTGAAATGTCGAATCGTCA